ACTCACCCTCTGCTCCCAGCTCACCATCAAAGCGCTGCATGTGGCCCCCACCACCAACCTGGGTGGGCCTGAGTGCTGTCTCCGCGTCTCGCTGATGCCCCTGCGGCTCAATGTGGACCAGGTGAGTGGTCCAAGTGAGGGCAGAGTCCAGGGTGACCCCACTGTCTCCAGGCCTCTGAGTCTGATCTGCGCCTGGACCTTTCCCCTGCAGGATGCCCTCTTCTTCCTCAAGGACTTCTTCACTAGCCTGGTGGCCGGCGTCAACCCTGTGGTCCCAGGGGAGACCTCCGCTGAGGGTGAGAGGCTGGGCCGGGGAGGGGAGCATCTGGGCCTTCTGCCTTCCAGGACAGCCCAGGTTCCCAGTCTGTGACCTCCCTTCCCCTAGCTCGCCCTGAGACTCGAGCCCAGTCCAGCAGTCCCCTGGAAGGGCAGGCGGAGGGCGTAGAGACAACTGGCTCACAGGAAGCCCCAGGCGGTAGACACAGCCCCTCCCCTGCTGACCAGCAGCCCATCTACTTCAGGTAGGCTGCTGGACTGTGGGTGGGGGCTCCTGGGCCAGATCGCTGGGAACCAGGCCAGTGAGCAAAGAACCCCCTCTTCATGCTCCCCTACCCAGAGAGTTCCGCTTCACGTCCGAGGTCCCCATCTGGCTGGATTACCATGGCAAGCATGTCACGATGGACCAGGTGGTAAGTGGGGCGGTCAGATGGGGTGGCCATGTGGGGTCAGCTGTGGCTGAGTCCCTCTGGGGGCCACGTCTTGCATCCAGACACCGTCAGGGCCAGGGTGCTCTCCAGTGGCTCCCATGGGCTGGCTGGCTCCCTGAGTCCCATCGGGTAAACCTGGATCCCCTCCCTCTCCCAGGGCACTTTCGCTGGCCTCCTCATTGGCCTGGCCCAACTCAACTGCTCCGAGCTGAAGCTAAAGCGGCTCTGTTGCAGGCACGGGTGAGTCCCCAGCACCCTAGCCTCTCTCCAGGGTCCCTGATCTTCCCTCTGTTCTGGTCCTGAATGGTTGTGTGGCCTTGACCAAGTCATCACCCTTCTCAGGGCCTCAGTTTCTCCTCTGTAAAAAGGATGCAGTTGGCTGGGTATGGTGGCTCATGCATTCAGGCATTTGAGACCAGCCTGACCAACACGGTGAAACCCCGTCTCTACTAAAAATATAAAAATTAGCCAGGCGTGGTGGCGGGCACTTGTAATCCCAGCTACTCAGGAGGCTGAGGCAGGAGAATTGCTTGAACCCAGGAGGCAGAGCTTGCAGTGAGCCAAGATCGCACCACTGCACTCCAGCCTGGGCAACATCCCTCTGCACGTGACTGGGTGGGACCACAGGGAGGGTAGGAGTGCCCACAGGACTTGCCACAGGGGTACTGAGTCCTCCTGGCCCCACAATCCCTCCATGTGTGGCTCTGCCTCACCTTCTGCCTCCTCACCTCCCTGCCCTGCCAGGCTCCTGGGTGTGGACAAGGTGCTGGGCTATGCCCTCAACGAGTGGCTGCAGGACATCCGCAAGAACCAGCTGCCCGGCCTGCTGGGAGGCGTGGGCCCCATGCACTCGGTTGTCCAGCTCTGTGAGTGCTTGGGTTTGGAAGCCCTTGGAACTGCTTTTACCCTTGGGCAACCTAGAAGCTGCCACTGGGAATAAGAGGAGGAGGTGGGGGCAGGGCAGCCTCGGGTGTCTCTGAGCGCTCCTTCCCCCTAGTCCAAGGGTTCCGGGACCTGCTGTGGCTGCCCATTGAGCAGTACAGGAAGGATGGCCGCCTCATGCGGGGGCTACAGCGAGGGGCTGCCTCCTTCGGCTCGTCCACGGCCTCTGCCGCCCTGGAACTCAGCAACCGGTTGGTACAGGCTATCCAGGTGAGTGGGTGCCCTGCATCTGGGCTGTGCAGGACAGAGCAGCTGGAGCCCTCTGCACCACAGCTCCCAGGTTCTGTCCTCAAAGGTCTTCTGAGAGTGGGCGGTCTGGGTATGACAGCCCTACTTTATAGAGAAACAACTATGGAGATGCTAAGTGACTTGCCTGGGGCCTCCAAGGCAGGTCTTCCGAGGCCCACAGGGGTTCCTGTGCAAGAGTCAGAGTGCCCCCCAGGCCTTCAGAGCCCACCGTGTCTCCTGCTCATGGCATGTCTTGTAAAGGGGGGTGGAGGACGGCTGTGTTTGCAGACTAAGAATCTGAGGCCCAAGGGCTGCCCTGGTTCCTTCAGGCCATGCACTTCGCTAGGCCAGAGGGACCCCAGGGAAGCCCCGGAGCCAGTCTCGTGGGCAGTTGTCAGATGAATTCTGTAGGGGACTGATGGTCCTAGTGGGCTAAGGGGTGAGTGCAGGTGCATGGTACGTTCTGGAACCTGCAAGCTCAGACCCCAGCAGGACAGAGGGCAGGGCTCCAGGGGAGGTGGGAGGTATGCGTGGCCACCAGGGAGCCCCCGGGAGTGTTCAGTCAGGTGGGAGAGAGTGATGCCAGGTGAGGTGCTGGGCAGAGGATCTGGCGGACAGAAGGAAGGATGGGCTCCCTGACCATCTTGCAGGGGCATCTGGGGGGCGAGACAAGGAGCAGTCAGTCTTAGGTGTGCAGCTGTGGCAGCCGTGCAGAACCTACTGAATGTGGCAGTCAGCAGGAAGAGAGGTTTGGGTTAAGAAGATTTTAGGAAAGTACCCTGAGGAGTCCCATGTTCCTAGATTCCCTGAGCGGAGTGGCGGATGCCTAGGAAGGGGAGGAGGAGTGGGAGGAAGTGGGAAGTAAGGCTGAGCAGGACTCCCTGGGCCAGCACAGTGACAGGCGGGGAGGCTGAGGGCTGGCGGGGTCTCACACTGTCCTGGGGGCCTGGGGCCGACATGTGTGCCCCAGCCAGCTGTCCTCATCCAGTGCTCCCATGTCCCCCAGGCCACAGCCGAGACCGTGTATGACATCCTGTCCCCGGCAGCCCCTGTCTCCCGCTCCCTGCAGGACAAGCGCTCTGCGCGGAGGCTGCGCAGGGGCCAGCAGCCTGCCGACCTGCGGGAGGGTGTGGCCAAGGCCTACGACACAGTGCGAGAGGTGACCAGGCCCCCACCCTGCCCCAGTCCCCCATGCCCATCTCCTCATGCAGACCCCACCCTGACCTCTGTCCTCCACAGGGCATCTTGGACACAGCTCAGACCATCTGTGACGTGGCATCGCGGGGCCATGAGCAAAAGGGGCTGACGGGCGCCGTGGGCGGTGTGATCCGCCAGCTGCCCCCGACCGTGGTGAAGCCGCTCATCCTGGCCACAGAGGCCACGTCCAGCCTGCTTGGGGGCATGCGTAACCAGATCGTCCCCGACGCCCACAAGGACCACGCCCTCAAGTGGCGCTCGGACAGTGCCCAAGACTGAGCTTGGGGCGCCCGGCACCCAGAAGGTGCTGCCCACCGTGCTCCTGAGCCTCCCAAGAGCTGCAGCACACGGGTCCGGCCCGGCCCGGCCCCTCAGGGGATGGCCACTGTGAAGGACGCCTTCCCGGCCTGCCCGTTGCCAATCTGCTGTGAGACGGGGGCCTCCCTGCCTTGGGGCCTTAGCCCTGGCTCTGCACTTTTCCTCCGGGGAGAAAGGACACTGCCCCTCCCCCCACCTGGGCCCACACCGCTGCCTTCTCCCAGGACGGAGGCTTTTGTACCCTCGGACCCCATCCCACTCAGCCAAGTGTCTTTCTGTGTCTGGGGGGAGGAGGGGATGACATCCGTGTGGTTCGATGTATCATTTTTAAGCTCCGTGAGCGCGTGGGTCAGTGTCTGCATGAAGTGGAATAAACTGCCCACCGCCAGCCCCCCTCTTAGATCCTCTGTCCCTGCGAACCCTGGCCTCAGCCTTGACCTTGGCTCCGCCCCAGATCCCACCTCTGCACCCAGCACCTCCCATGTCACCACCAGGGGTCGCCACGCCTCCCGGCCTTGCCCAGCAGGTCAGGGCACAGGGGGGACCCAGAGGCACCCAGCCCTGCACCCCTTCCGCTGGCTCTGAGCTCTGCCTTGCCCTTCCCAGGGGGCTGCCACCCCAGCCCCACTCCTGATATGGCAGGAGCTACGTGGGGCTGCCAGGGAGGGAGGGATGGTCTTTGGAGCCTGCCTGCCCAGACCACATTGGTTGTGTCCCTGCAAGACCCCAGGGTCCAGCCTGACCCCAGGGCCCCTGGCTGTGGGGACGCCAGGCAGGCTCAAGCCCTGACTATGGGACCTGAGGCGACACCCTGGGTCCCTGAGCCTCAGTCCTTCCTGGTGTTCCCTGCCCAGCTGACCCTGCCTGGTTGTCACTTGAGGCCACTCAGGGAAGGCTGAGCCTGAGGTGTTCTAGAGGTTGCTCTCACCATCCCTAGTGGGGGCTTTAGGGGCCTCTGGACCCTTGGCTTCCACTCCGCTCTGGGGTCGGAGCTCCAGCACTGCAGTCAGAATCCCAGCCCTCACTGCACAAAGCTTTACATGGGACCAGGGAGCGCCCGTTGCCCCCCACACATCTTGTTTCTTGTGAGCACAATGGGAGCACCGTGCTCCTCCCTGCCCTGCTTCCCAGTGGCACTGCACAAAGGTGGGCGGGTCCATGGGGAAACTGAGGCTTGGGCTGGGAATCAGGGGGCCCTCACTTTGCCAGGTTCCGCAGGCCTCTGGGGTTAGCGAAGGTCCCCCAGCCCCACTCTGTGGCCCCTCCTGAGTGGGGGAGATCTGGGCACTGGGAACAGAGCAGAAGCTTTATCCCAAGGGAGCCTCGGGTCCTGGCTGCCCACGGACACCTGGGGCTGGTAAGAGATCAGGAGGGCGAGGCCCTGGAGGAGACAGGGCTGTGGATGACTGGGTGCTGATGCCACCCGGAGAGGCAGATGGGGCCCAGCCTGATGCTTCCTGGACCCGCCCCACCCTGCCCGGGCACAGTCCAGGGCTTCCTGCCCTTCGAACCGCACTTGTGATCAGTATTGACGGTGGTGGGATAATCATTAACCACCACCAGGGGCTGGGTCAACGGCTCAAAAGGCCCTGGGCCCAGGGCGTCCCCACTTCCTCCTTGTGCCCCGAGGGCCAGCCCGGCACCCAGGTAAGAGGCTTCCTGAGTGGTAGGACCCCTGCCACACTCCCTGTCCTAGGAGGCTCCTGAGCCCAGGCACCTCTCTGAAGGGTGGCCAATCCTGAGGAAGAAAGGGACCTGGACAGCCATGGGGTGGCCGGCACAGCTTCCTCTCTGGGCCTTGGTTTCCACTGTGGGATGAGGGGGCCTTAGCATCAGCGCTCAGAGCTGTGGAGCCAGGCTTCCTGATCGGGCGCTGCCACTGCCAGGCCAGGGCACTTGGACACCACACTGCAGGAGGCTGGTCTCACCCAGGCCTCTGTGGGAAGGGCCGCCAGGCTGAGTGGAGGGCCAGTCACCAACTACAGTGTCCTTCGCAGGCCTGTCCCCCCAGGCAGCAGGATTCCAGCCCAGGGATCCCCCATCCCACCCTGACTGCATCCCGAGAGGGAGGACGCCACTTCGGAAAGGCTGTTGGGGCAGCACAGGCCCTGGGGCCCTGCTCTGTGACCTTGGGCGGCCCCCTCTGTCTCTCTAGGCCTGTATCCACCACTGGCAAAGGGGGCAGGGCCCAAGTCTACTCTAAAAGTTCCCCTTTCTCTCCAGAAGCTTTGGAGTCTCCCAAAATGCCTGCTGGGTCCCTGCAGGACCGGCACCTGTCACCGGAACCTGTCTGGGAGGGATGAGAACACGCTTTGCAAGAGGAAGCTCTGCCTCCCAGAGCCCTGGGCTCACTCAGGGACCCCGGCCAGCAGCTGCTTCCTCTCCCCACAGCGGAGAGAGACCCAAGGGTCCCAGGGCGGATGCTTCCCACCAGTCCAGGCCAGCGTGCAGGGTGGCCTCCTAAGTCCTGATTGACATATGGACAATGGTTCAGAGAGGTTATGCTACTTGCTCAAGGTCACCCAGCTCCCAGGTCCCTGCTGTCTTCCAGGCCTCTGAGGTCCTAAGCGTCCCTCCAGGCAGGCCACTGCTCAAGCCTGTTCCTCACATTCTGTGGCAGGTTTGTGTATCTAAATCTTTTCCAGTTCCCTGTCGTCCCCCTTCCTTCACCTCATCATCCACTGTCGCTGTTTGTTTTCTCTGTTCCTTTCCAGTACTCTACCTGCTCCTCTTATTTTTATTTGAGACAGGGTCTTTCTTTGTCACTGAGGCTGGAGTGCAGTGGCACAAACACAGCTCACTGGAGCCCTGACCTCCCAGGTTCAAGTGATCCCCCGACCTCAGCCCCTTGAGTAGTTGGGACCACAGGCATGCATCACCACACTGGGCTAATTTTTTATTTTTTGTAGAGATGGGGTCTCACTGTGTTGCCCAGGCTGGTCTTGCACTCCTGGGCTCAAGAGATCCTCCCACCTTGGTCTCCCAAAGTGCTGGGATTCCAGGTGTGCACCACCATCTGCAGCCTTACTCTTCTCTTCCTCTCTCAGCCCCTCTGCCTCACTATCCCTCTTTCTGTGTCCCCGACTACAGCCCCCCACACTTCTTCTCAGTCTCATCTTCAGCTTCCCATACGGGGCCATCCTCATGAAATCGGGCACTGGGAGGTCCCTGGGGATTGACAAGCGCCAGCTGTCCCTTGCGGTCCCTCTGCCCCATGGCTGCAGCAGGGAGGGTGGGCAAAGGGCAGAGGCGACAGTGGCCAGACCTGAAACTGAGACCCAGCTCTGGTTGGGAAAGAAACAAGGAAACAAAATAACTTGGGGACAGAGGGCGTGGGGTCATCAGAGTGGGCAAAGGCTGCCCAGGAGTTGTAAATCAGAGCCGCTCCCGGCTTTATGAGGCCGATTTGGGGTTGAGCCTGGACTTCGCCCAGGAAGCAGTGCTGGCAGCACACGGGGCGCCAGGTGTGGGCCCCGGATGATAAGAAGCCTCGGTGAAAAGACCATGGACCTGGGGCCACGAAGACTGGGGCGCCCAGGTGAGCGGGCGTGGGACACTCTCCAGAGCCCTGCCCAAGGTGGATGCCAGGCAGGGCCCCGGCCTCCAATTGGCTCCCGCCCCCTGTAACAGCAACTCCATGTGGAAGTGTCCACTGATTCCAGTGGGGCTGCTGTTATCTGGGGCGAGGGCCGGTACCCACGAAGAAGGAGAGGCAGGTGCTGCCCAGCAGACCAGCCAGGACTACCGTGGTGACGCTCCCAGGCCAGATGGTGGCGGGTGGTGGAGGGCTATCGGTGGGCTGCTGAGACCGAGTGCACAGGGCTCTGACCTATGAATTGACAGCCAGTGCTCTCGTCTCCCCTCTGGCTGCCAATTCCATAGGTCACAGGTATGTTCGCCTCAATGCCAGCCACCAGGACCTGCAGGGGTAGGGGCGGGCCGGGGGTGTCCAGCAGTCCGCGGAGACCCTGCGACCCCAGTGCAGCACTCATGGTCCCACCTCCCTCCGTCTCATTCCCCGAGATGAGCCTGAACAGCTTCAGTCCCACCCCTGCCCTGCCTGCCCTGCGGCACCTCCATGCTTTGCCCATGCGATTCCCTTGGGCTGCAACACTCTTCCTAGGTTATTTGCCAGGCTCACTAACCCTTTCAAGCTCCATCCAAGCATTTGCTGCCTCCAGAAGGCCTTCTTGAAGCTTCTAAGTCCCCACCTGGGCACCCCACGCTGTGCTGCCCCAGAGCACTGCCGTCTCGGAGCCCTGGCGCTGGTTTCTGTTTGTGTCTCGCTCCTCTCCCCATCTGTGAGCTCAGTTCCCAGCCCAGGTGCGTGCTCAGTGTTTGCTGAACCGATCCTGAGCCTTTGTCTTGCACCCTGAGGAAGCACCCACCGACATGCAATGTGGCCAAGGGGGGCTGAGTGCTCTGGGCCCAGTGTTTGTGCTGGAGCCCCCCACCCAGGACAGGGGCCCTGAGTCAGCCTCCGCATCTGCTTCCTGCTCTCCCCTCCTTTGCCAGTCTCATGTCCCTGGAGCACAGCCCTGTGGTTGGTGGAGCAGCTTCTCCAGTCCCTGGGATGAGGGCCCAGGACCCCAGCTGCTGGTAGAGGAAGAGCAGCCAACCCAGGACAAGACAGCTGACCTCACCCCTGTCCCGCCTCCCACAGAAGCCTCATTTCCACCTATTTCTTTGTGGTTTTTGTTTGTTCGTTTGTTTGTTTTGAGATAGAGTCTTGCTCTGTTGCCCAGGCTGGAATGCAATGACGCGATCTCGGCTCACTGCAACCTCTGCCTCCCGGGTTCAAGTGATTCTCCTGCCTCAGCCTCCCAAATAGCTGGGATTACAGGCATGCACCACTACACTCAGCTAATTTTTGTATTTTTAGTAGAGACTGGGTTTCACCATGTTGGCCTGCCTGGTCTCGAACTCCTGACCTCAGATGATCTGCCCACCTCGGCCTCCCAGAGTGCTGGGATTACAGGCATGAGCCACCGTACCCAGCGCCACCTGTTTCTTATACAACGGGGTTCTGAGGAAATTTTCCTTTTTTTTTTTTTTCCTGAGACAGGGTCTTGCTTGCTCTGTCACCCAGGCTGGAGTGCAGTGGTACAATCACAGCTCACTGCAGCCTCCACCTCCCAGGGCTCACACAATCCTCCCAACTCAGCTTCCCAAATAGCTGAGACTACAGGCATGTGCCACCATGCCTGGTAAATTTTTGTATTTTTCATAGAGATTCACCATGTTACCCAGGCTGGTCTCAAATTCCTGGTGTCAAGCAGTCCTCCTGCCTCAGCCCCTGAAACTGCTGGGATTACAGGCATGAGCCACTGTGCCCTGTCGGAATTTTTCAGAATAAAAAAGTTTCTGGTACTAAAACATAAAATTTGTAAAATGGGAAATAGAGACCTAGGAATAAATGTCAAATTGCTTAATAATAGGCGTTGGCTATTGAACCCTTTCTTTCTGCTGGGCACGCACATCCAGGACCTGGTCCTCCTGGCATCCATCATGAACCTGTTTGGGAGGGGAGGACACAGGCTCAGAGAGGGTGCACGTTTGCTGAAGTCACAGAGCAAGTCCTTCTCCTTCTGAGGACTGTAGGCAGCCGGCAAACATCTGGCCCCTAAGACAGCGTCTCTCTCCCCTTCCCACAGGCAGCTCTGCTCACGCTGTCCTGGCTGCTCTGGATCCCTGGGCCCCGATCGGCCCCTGCCACGGCCCAGCTCAGCAACCCCTCCCTGCAGACCGTCCCATGACTGTGCAGGCCCTGCTCCCCTCTCTGCCTACACCCGACTTTGTGGGCCTCTCCTGCCACCCTTATCTCATTCCCTGCAGAGTTAAGGAGCCCTGTGTGCTTATCTAATCCTGTGCTGGTCTCAGACTCCTTGAGGGCAAGGTCCACGACTTACTCATCCTCCCTGGCTGCTTCCCCCACCCACCAGCATAGTAGGTGTTCAGGATACATGGGCTGGATGCTGGGGCCCTGGACTCTAACCCCCTTGGGGCTGTCAGGCCTCAGACCCAGAGCACTGGCTTAGGGTGAAAGGGGTGCAGACAGCAGCCACCCTGCCCTGGGGGTCCTCCTGCATCTGCCTCTGCAGAGCACTGTGATCCCACAAAGGCCTGCGAGGGCTATTGGAGACCTGTTCCAACATTAGCAAGGCAGATCCAGCACCCTCCCCCTGGCTCCTTGACCCCACTGACCTGTGTCCTTCACCCAGCAGGCCCTGGGCCCATGCACATTTCCCTGGCATGGGCCTCACCTCCAACCCCTCTCAGAATTCCTCAAGACTTGCCCAAGGCTCACTCCCTCCTGGACCCCTGCCTGGCCCCCCCGTCCCACCCCCCATTATCCCACTCACTGGTTCCTTGGATGCTCTGTGGCTGTGATGTTAGCGCCCCCATCACACCCCATCACCCACACCGGCCTATTTCCCCCACCAGCCTGAGAGCCCCCAGGAGTGGCAGCCACTGACTTTTTTCCTATAGCCTCAGAGACTCAAAGGAGGCACTTAATAAAATGCACAGGGAAGGACTGGCCTTGTGCATGAGCAAAGTTGCTTAGGGAGGGAGCCTAGACACAGCGGGGCGGTTAGCACAGAGCTGGCGGTGGGAGGCCTCCGTAGTATTGTCTCTGTCCCATCGTCCACACCACACGTGTATGAACCGCGAGGCTGACAGAGGCCCTGAGAGGTTGTGCAGATTGACTGTACACTAACTTCAGAGAGAGAGGGCCCAGGCGGGGAGGAGGAAAGCCTCCCTGGGAGAGGTGGGTGTGAGGTCGGCGTTTGCTGAGGTGAACCCCAGAAACAGGTCGTGAGCACTGGAGGAGGAAGATGCCAGGGGCAAAGATGCAGGAAGGGGACCGAGGCGCAGGGCAGGCGGGAATAGCTTCCTCTTCTGCAAGACTTACTCCCGGTGGCTACCACCAGGGGGCGCCCCGGGCACCCCCTCCCAAGCGGGGCGGGGCCAACCCTCCCCACCGCGCTGCTCGTAAGGCCTCGGGGAACAGCCCCTGGGTCCGCCTTCCCCGGGCCGTCTAGAACTGCGTCTGGCCTGGCCGGGACACTGTCCTGGGCCGAGGGCACAGCCTGGGTGCCAGCGTTCTACACACGGTTGCAGATCCCAGGCGCGCACTGCCTTCCCCAAGGTGGCCCTGGTAGGACTCTTCCCACTGTGGTGTGTATAAAACATACTGTATAATGTATATTCATAGAATTTACAATGAGTCCCCATGTAACCTTGCAGAGCCCCCAAATGTGCCCTTCCAGGTCCCCCCGCACATGGTCAGCACAGTTCTGAGTGTTATGGTAATCACTTCCTCTCCTTTCTCTGGGATTTACTACGCTGTACACTGCCCCAAACTGTCTGGGAGCATTTTGTCTGGATTTGTTATTAATGTAAATGGAATCACGGTGCCGTGTCTGAGTCTCATGCAGTTGCTGGAGCCGAAGTTTCTTCACTCATGTTCAGTGTTGTATAGTGAAGAGAACACTTGGGGTTATTATGAGCGCTGTTATTATGAGCACTGCTGGGGTTATAATGAGTATTGCAACTCACAGATTAAACTGCAGAGTGCTTCTCCAGTAGGGACTGCCAGGCCATGGAGTGGCGGACCTAACACTGGACCAGGGCACATGGTACCTAATAAAGGATAGCTGGGTACAGGCCTTTCTTTATTTTGTTTTTCCTCTTTCTTTTTTTTTTTTTTTTTTGAGATGGAGTCTCACTGTGTTGCCCAGGCTGGAGTGCAGTGGCTCGATCTTGGCTCACTGCAAGCTCCGCCTCCCGGGTTCAAACGATTCTCCTGCCTCAGCCTCCCAAGTAGCTGGGCTTACAGGCACCCACCACCATGCTCAGCTAATTTTTGTATTAGTAGAGACGGGGTTTCACCATGTTGGCCAGGCTGGTCTTGAGCTCCTGATCCCAGGGGATCTGCCCGCCTCGGCCTCCCAAAGTGCTGAGATTACATGTGTGAGCCACCATGCCCGGCCGCCTTTCTGTTTTTCTTTTTGACAATGATGATAGCTTCAGAAAAGTTGCAAGAGAAGTACAAACAACATCCGTATACCTTTTATTTTGATTCATTGACAGTTAACACTTTGCAATTGTGTGTGTGTGTATATATATGTATATGTGTGTGTGTATATATATGTGTATGTATATATATACACATACACACACACACACACACATATATATATTTTTTGAGACTGAGTTTCGCTCTTATTGTCCGGGCTAGAGTGCAATAGCACGTTCTTGGCTCACTGCAACCTCTGCCTCCCAGGTTTAAGCGATTCTTCTGCCTCAGCCTCCCAAGTAGCTGGGATTACAGACATGCGCCACCATGCCTGGCTAATTTTTGTATTTTTAGTAGAGACGGGGTTTCTCCATGTTTCTCGAACTCCTGACCTCAGGTGATCCACCTGCCTCGACCCCCAAAGTGCTGTGATTACAGGCATGAGCCACCGTGCCCGGCCTGCAATAATATTTGCTCCCTTTTCTCTCTCTCTCTTGCACCCACATACACACATACACACACAAACATATTTTCTGAACCATTGGAGAGTAAGTTACATAAGTCCTAGCCCTTTACCCTTAAATATTTCAACATGTATCTCC